TCAGTCCAAAATAGGAATTAACAACCTCAGAACTAAGGAGGATTGGGAGAAGTACGCATTTTCAACTGCCACTAACATGAGACATCGAAATTTTACTATTACATCTCCAGTAATGTTCTAATTTTTAACCAGCTCCCTTTCTCCACAGCCCAGCACACCTCTCCTTCCACCTCTCATACAAAGACCTAAGGAAAGATTTTGCGAGTGCTGCATTTCAAACATCTGGCCTGCATATCGATGTTTTCTGCATCGCACCCATCAACAAGATCACCTCATTCTGAACTTGTTATTTTTTCCCCCCAGTGCAAATTCAGATGATTTAGTGGCTCCATCTGCTTTGTCAAAAGTGCCCAGACACCTCAGCTGTATTGCTTATTGAATTGCTTTAGGTGTAGCAGCTCAAACGTGAAGTGTGTTACGTTACAGTTTTGCATCTTTATGGAAAAATGCTTGCTGTAGGAACCCAATGGTTCTTTGCATATTGCATTACATACATAGATATTTTAAAATAAAATCTGGTGTTTTTCTGATACTTTAACACCACACTGAATTCCAAGAAGCTTGCAAACTCCAAAGGCTGGAGAAAAGGAAGCAAGAGTAGAAAAACAGACAAGAAACCTCTATTCAGCGAGTTCTTGAAATGTGCATAAACAAATTAAGTATTCAGTTTATTCAGCAAAATATGAGAGGACATCAAAAGTGTTCCTGGGTAATAAAAGAGCAGATTTAAAAAAGAGCAAACATACAGATTTCTTCAGTGGCCCACAGTTCAGTACCACATAGCTCTTTACTTCTTGTTCTCACACGCCACAGACCTGTGGCCAGGATACAGGCATCTCACTACAAGAAAGACACTGAGGTGCTGGAGCGTATCCAGAGAAGGGCAACGAAGCTGGTGAGGGGTCTGGAGCACAAGTCTTAGGAGGAGCAGCTGAGGGAACTGGGGTTGTTTAGCCTGGAGAAAAGGAGGCTGAGGGGAGACCTTATCATTCTCTACAGCTACCTCCAAGGAGGGTGTAGAGAGGTGGGGGTCGGTCTCTTCTCCCAAGTAACAAGCGATAGGATAAGAGGGAATGGCCTCAAGTTGCACCAGAGGAGGCTTAGGCTGGATATAAGAAAAAATTCTTCACCAAAAGACTTGTCAAGCATTGGAACAGGCTGCCCAGGGAAGTGGTGAAGTAGCCATCCCAGGAACTATTTGAAGGACGGGTAGACGTAGTGCTTAGGGACATGGTTTAGTGATGTTTTTGGCAGTGCTAGGTTGATGGTTGGACTTGATGATCCCTTCCAACCTAGACAATTCTATGATCTGAACCCTGACTGGGGCTTCAGGGAACCATGGGGCCTCCATGCACCTCAGCTCCCAGCTGGCAAGGGGTGCAAACCAGCACAAGACAAACCTCCATCAAGATAAACCCGTTACTGACAGTAGGATCCTTCCACATGATAAAATACCAGTCTTAAAGCACAAGATAGGTGGTTTGAGATACGAAGTGGCCAAAATGTTATTAAATGGGCATGATGGATGGCTCACAAACAGGGAGAGCTTGATGTTCATCCATGCAGACAACTCCTAGAAGCCACTACCTGTACGCTTGAAATCAGAAGCTGAAATAGTTAGAAATTCCTCCAAAAAACACTGTGCGGTTTATCAAAATACAAAGACCAGCATGAGAGCTGCAATTGATATAAGTTTTTTTTAAAATTACCACTGCCATTAAGCTTTCACTACAATTTCCACTTCTATTATGCAACATTTGTTTGGAAGGATGGAGTGGCTATCGTAATTTTTATTCCGAAACTAACAGTTCTGATCCAGAATGGCTGTCTTTAGTTTTACATCTATAAACTGTTTCATTCTTTTTATATATATCTGTGTATAAAAATGAATAAAATATTTTGACACAATTCTCAAAGAGCATAACTCAACTAACATTCACACTGGAGCAGCAACACGTCAGTGACTACAGCAGGGCAAACAATTACTCTGAAAGATTTTTGAGGCTACTAATAAAATTAAGAATTCTCGAATATGTATTTTTTTTTTAAAGAAATTCCCTTCCTCACAAAAAGAGCACCTTCAAAGTACAGTAACTTAAGCAGCACATGGCATTTACATTTTCATCTAAATCTTTAAAGCAGCCCATTATTTCCTTAGATTTGAGAAAAGAACCCTGCTTTATTTCACCACACCAGCCATAAATTATTCATTAATTCTGTTTGCTAACTCTGTAACTGAGCCCAGATGTTTCTGCTGGAGAGGCATTCCATAAGAAAAGTTAAATATAGCAAGCTGTGTGGAGGGAGCAGATCTCTCTCTCTCTCTCTCCCCACCACAGTATGGTCAAATATTACTTGAGAGAAAATAATGAAAACATTTGAAAAATATTCTGAATATGTGAAGCTGTGAAACGACACAGTCTGATCGCAAAATTTCACATAAAAGAGCCCCCACACATCCACTTGGGTGTAACTGAAGTTACTGGTCCTGTCTGTGGGAAAGGTGCTGGCACTTTCACTCGCCAGAGGAAACGGAAAATTTACAAGCAGAGGAACACTCCTTGGGATGCAACATTTACAAATATAAATCAAGACTTAAGTTTTCAATTACAAGAAACACTTCCGAGCCGGCTACCAATGGCAATAACCATGTTGATGAAGAACTGAGAGCATCGTATGGAATTTCTTACAGAATTGACATGGAAACTTACTGGTGGGAACTTTAAATCCATTTCAGTACTTTAGAGGAACTTCAACCATTTTACGCTAGCAAAGATGATTAATGCTGACATTTATAATCCAACACTATGAGCAGAGTCCTGTTGACCAGAATGGAAGCTACCACGTTCAGCCACCCGTCCAGACACTGATATCATTTCTAGTACTTTTCAGCAATTGTCATAAGCTTGTTCAGAAATGCCTATTTTAAGTTAGAAACTATTCTTAATCATTACATAGTTGGAGAAAAAGTGAAAGACACAGGGTTGAACGTTGCAGAGCTGCAATCTTTGGAGTTTGGAGACTATTCTCAGACACGCAACACTTCAGTTATGAGCAATGATCTCAAGGAGAGATTTTGAGAGGTAATCTAGTCCCTTTGCTCTGCTTCAAGGCAAGATCAATCCTATTTAAATCACTATACTCCTAATCTGTTATTAAAAGTTTCGAGCGTAGCAGATTCTATAAGATGACTTTGCAGAGAGAGGGTATTTTGGGGAAGATATTACAGACTAGTGTGGTAATGACACCACTGCCCTGGTACCGGGTATCAGCTGCTGTCATCCAACTTTACTGCGCTTGCAGAGAAGCAGCTGAGCACCTTGTAGCCAAATCCTGTTGTTCTTTGACCACCTGTGTCCCTAGGAGACTGTGCAAAATACGTTAAGTCTAACTGTAGTGTTAACAGAGGCACCTTCCCACTAGCTAGCAAACAGGCAAATAAACCTCGGTGTATATGCTATTAGCCACCTTAGAATACAACAAAACCCTGCAGGCTGTTCCCAAAAATGTGACTATAGAGAAGATTGAAGTCATAATTTTAGCATGGGAAGGCATACTAGCATAAGCTTTAGTCTCCTCAACATCAATAACGTTAGGAATAATGGAGTAGTAGCACAGGTCAACAGACTTCGGGCAATAAATATCTTTTTATTTTTTCCCCTAGTCAACGCTGCCAGAAATTTTCTTTATTTCTGGTAGCTACTCAAAGTTAGCACAAACAACAACTACCACAGCATGTCTACCATGGGCAATGACCTCTTCTTTTTGCTGTGTGGACAGATCTTAAGGACATCTCACTTCTACTTCAGAGCTCAACTGGAAAGCAGCCAATGAGAAGAAAACCAGAACAAATTTTATTTAAGTTAGTCGCCCCGACAGCAACTTACAATTGAGTCCACCTATACGAGGAAATGTTTCCTCTCCAACTCCTAAGGAAGAAGAGAGTTATGCAATGTGAAACCTAGAAACTGGACCCAGTTACAGCACATATGGGAGATGGAAGATGACAAAAGATCTGGAGGCTCTCAGAAAATAAAGACCATATGTTGGAACAGTGGAAAGCCTTCTGTGAAATCTTTGTGGCGGGGAAAAGAGGGAGTAGAGTGCAGGTGTGAAGTACCAAAACGACTCAAAACAAAAGAATGACTCTATATTAGAAGCCGATCTTGAAAAAACCTTTTCTAAAATATGGAGAGAACATTACAGCAAAAGAGAAAGAACTTTTCATCTCCTTTGCACTGCATGAATTTCTAGATCAATGCTGAACAAAGGGGTTTTTTTGTGGAGTGAAACCAGCACCTGGTCTATTTCCTGGTTTATGCATAGGAACAGAAGCTGCAGGGAAGTTTCAGTTCGTACAACCAAATTTGGAAAGTGAAACATCAAACCTGATGCACTTCACAAGCAATGTCCTAGCCACAAATTATACGTAGCTAAGTACAATTGTTCACAGTTTAGGTTGTCCTTGTTTAAGCAAAAAACAGACCATCATGAAACTGTCTGTATGCCTAAATTTGTGCCTAATTATCTTTCTCCACAGGCATTGTGTTTGAAAACAGGCATAAAACCTTAAGTTAACAGGTAGTCTAACAACAATTCAGCATGCAGCTCACTTCATAATTATAAAGAGGGTTATGGGAAAAGAAAGCCACCTACCTGCTTGTATGACCTGCTACTTAGGCAGAAAAAGTAATGTCACAAGGAAGATTTTTTGGTGTTTAGTCTGTACTGATTTCTATTACAGTAATCTACAGCAATTTAAGCAACCCAAATCTAAAAAGGTCCTGAGAATTTCCCACTTTTGGGAGTCTTATCTGGCCCACTCACCTAATGTGCACATACAAACTGATTATATTCCAGCAGAATTAGGACCAGATGGGTTTTAGCTGTAAGCTTGATTTTTATTTTTTTTAAAGACTTGTTCTCTGTCCTTTTTTTTCACCAGAAGATAACAAACATATTCAACATCTTGAAAAAAGAAAGACAAAAAGAATGTTTACTTTGGTTGGGCTAAGCAGCCAGGTGCTATAATACTGCAAGTTTCATCCGTAGTCTGCAGTGCTGTAAGTTCCACCATGTTAACCATCACATCGGTCTTGTGGCCAGGAAGATTGGGAAGCACAGAAAGTATCTTTTCTGCAAGATTGTCACCATGATGACCAACTGCTCCTAGGAAAAAAAGAGACCCCAAAACTGTCAGGTACATAACTAGAAGAAAAAAAAAAAAACAAAAACAAAAAAAAAAACCCCAAACAACACATAAGGAACTGAGAGCAAAATAGCCACCACATGTTCTGGGAAGAAGGACCACAATTAGCTTGCCAAAGATATTTTGCTACAAAAAAAATTAATTTCTGGAATGTCTGAGGTTAAAAGTACTGATAGAATCAGATTCATTTAAAAGGCAAAAATTAGACTTAGCTTTACAGCTAGCAGATATTCACTGATTTTGCACTTAAATATGCAAAATACTTCTCTTTCCATAAGAAAGTTGTTAAACAAGATTTGCAAGGGTTATTAAAAAAAACAGGCAAACATCTATATATACATGCACATATGCAAACTATGCTTTTCTAAACTAATAGGACCGTGCTTAAAAAGGCTGTGTACAGGGTGCACACATAGCTACCCAGATAGGCTGGCATAATATTAAAATACGCAATTACCAACAACATGCCATTGTCAAGGTCATTGCTCCTACATGGACTGAGGGCAGCACAGGTGAAACCCACGTGAAATGACTAAAACAACCCAAGTTACACAGTATAAAATGTCGATTTGACCATGTTCCAAGAGAAATTCTGAATTCCAGCTGGCATGTTTTCTTCAATTCTCCTGATTTCAAACACACATGCGCTTCTTTCCAGTCACCAACTTTCAACACAGGTGCTACAACCAACTTACAAACTATTAAGACTGTGAGCCAAGCCAAAGCAGAAAAACCTGACACGCACTACAGATGAAAAAGTTGGAGAGGGGGATCGGAGACCTTACTGCCTTAAGGACATGAACAAGTCAAAGGTATTTGTATTCTGCTACTTTAGCTACGGTTCAGCTATCACCACAGGGCTGGACACCAGTGCTGAGCCTAGAAGCGTTCTCCTGGCTTTACTCACAGGAGAAGGGGGACTTCTGAAGCCACGTTTGAGAGGCAGGAAAAAGATCTTTTAGGCTATGGTCCCACTCCATCTAAGTTTGTCCATGTGGCTCCCTATCTGTTCTCACTTTGGAACGTTTGCAAAGACAGATGTCTGTTTCAACAGGTGAAGTCAGCTTCACATGCTCCATAAATCCAAAAAAGGCCCTTACATCAAAAATATTAATGGGCTCAGATTATTAAGTGCTCTTGGATAAGCAGAAGGTTGTCTCCAGCAAGTCTACAGCAGCCACGTACCCATGCTGTAAAACCACCTCATGGTTTATCAAATATTCCAAATTGTAGAAGTCAAAAAGAGAAGCAAGGATGAAAAAGCAGGAGAAAAGTAAAGTCTGACTCCATGCTGGTAATGCCTCTACCCACAGAAGGCAAGGAAGGCACATGTGTCCAGCATGTGGTGGTGCCACAATGCGGACACCTGGCCGCTCAGCTGGATTGAGATTATCAATTTGTTTCACCAGAGATTGTAATAGTCACAGAATGACAGCAACTTTCCTTTCTACCGTCCCCAGACAGATTTAGACCACTGAAATACAGATGAAACGAGCTGGGCTGTCTTTGCCACTCCCTAAACCATCTGCTCGCCAAAATCCCTACATTCTTCTTACTAGGTCAGTCACTTGTCAGCCACACTGCCGTTATCAACACTCGCAAAGTTACAGACATGGAAAACAGATGGTAATCTTCTGAACCTCCACCCCCACGTACTGGAAGCAATGTCTATCTCTGCACACTTGCTGCACGCAAGCAACATGTAGCTAGACAAGACATTCAGCTAAACTGGAAACACCTTGAATACAAATAAACCCACGTTAATTATTAACATCCCTCCTTTCTCCTTGGCAGAGGGGGAAAGTCTCAGTGTATTTAAGTTGCTTCCACAATTAGCAAGTGCCATCTCAGTCTCCTTCCCATAACTGCTACTTCTTGCAGGCTCCCACGGGACCGCAGGCGCTAATGGCTTTTGCTCTGCCTCATCAAATCAATCAGAAAACATCTCATGGAACTTTTAAAAATCCCTATTACCCTTGACCAACTATGCAAACCAGTCAAGGCTGGAAAGACAATTAAACCTCATGAGACTAGGACCAGAAATCACGGCAAAGTCACTTTTGAATCACGCTGACTTCAACAGGGTGCACGGGACTGGTTTCTGTCCTCTCTCCTCATTGCTGCTGAGGACAGAAGCTCAGCAGCTTCCCGTGACCAACAGCATTCAAGGCAGCTGGCAACTTTAATGCTGCCAACATGCACGCAGATCAGGTGTTAAAGTGACAAGGAAAACTTATCTGACCAATGCAAAATAGGAGCCTTCACGCCAGGCTAACATCCAGCCTTGAGGATAGGATACGGGAAATCTTACCTATCACACTGTTCTAATTTTACTTTGCCTTCTCATTAAGAGTTACAAAGTGAAACACACAACCTTTGATACAGGTTGTAACTGGCACAATTGGCAAAGCTGACCAACTGATTCTTTAACAGCAGCCAGGATCTCATTAACTACACTCCCCTTCCCCCCAAAAAGCATCAGTGACATACGCATACAAGAAAATACTTTCCTAAGCCCGTTACCAGCTTTATATCACACCATTTGTACTCCAATTCTTACCTTCTAATGGTTCTACTGTCTGGTTCAAAAACAAAACAAAGAAAAAAAAAAAAAAGCAGATTTAAGGGGCAACTGCATATCGCAGAAGCAAGGTGAACATTTGGGCAGTGGGAGGACTTTAAAGCCAGTTGCTAAACATGAGGAGCTTGAATTAGAAAGCAATTCTCCTACACAGGCATTGCTCACTAGCGAACAAATAATGCAGCTAATTTCTACGGTGGGCTTTCCCTTCAATCAAAGTTTAAATATAAGTCAGTGTGCACCAAAACAGTAGGCAAGCCATATCTTGCACCCACCATCAAGCCTTCTTAACAGCTGCTGTTTTAACTACTTTGTAGATCAGTTCAGGACTGGTGATTTTGGAAAGCTGGGTGGACAAACCCACCCCAATTTTCATGATGTTTCAACTGCACACTCACCCAACACTTTTCTGAAGAAGACCACCACTAGGATGACTTTACACTAAAGGACTCCAGCGGGACAATTGCTGTGACACAACTTTCTTCAGCAATGCATCACCTCAGTGACAGCAGGGTATAAAATATCAAGAAGGCAGAAATGTTTACACCTATTCCCTTGAAAGAAGCTGGATATTTGGAGCTCCAGTTCCAAAGCCTATCAGTGTTTTGCCACGTTCTTTCACCCAGCGTTAGCTTAAGCTGACGTTGTTAAACAGTTCTGGAAAGCAGTCTGTATGTTCCCGGGAACCATTCCGCAGCATTCAAGGCAAGCTAGAGCATCCTTCCACCCTGCCAAAAGACAGATCTACGTTCTCCTTTGTACGGATGAAGGAACATCAAAGTAGTCAGTTATGTGTCCCACTATGCTGGCTACTGAATCTAAAAACAAACACAAAAAAACCCCACACACGCAACCCGCCATGCCACAACCCCCCTCTTCCAAAAAAACACCAAAAACTTGTAGCCCAGTAGTAGAAGCAAGGGAGCCCACAGCCAAGCACAGCGGCACCAGAGTGCTGCCACAGAAATGCGAGTTCTTCCCATCTCTCAGCCAGCTATTGCAGCTTATATAGAGAGTAGTAAATTGGGAGATAAGAAACACTTAAGCATCTGCTCAAGGCTCATGTAATTTCCAAGTCTCCTTCACTGACCTAGCCACCTGCGGTTTTCTTTAAATAGGCAAAAATCATTCCATTTATTTTGCATTTATCTCTGTAAAGCCTCTATAACAAATTTAATGTCTGAAGTACTCAAAAATCTATTACAAAAAATTGTGTGCCTATTCCACAGTCTTTACAAACCACGTCACAGCAGAGGCTGCACCCTGACCCACAGTACTGAGTTGACACAATTTGAGTATTTTCAGCTGCCATCACTCCTCACAGCTGCAGTCTACACCCTCAAGTAACCTGAATAATTTAAGCATCAGTTGCCTCCTGTGTCAAAACCCCAGCCTGGTTCATAAAAGCAAACTACTGTACTCTACAGGCCTCAGTATTTATGTTTTCAAAGCCTCAGCTTATATGGTAAGGAAGAAAAAAACATGGTTTTGTTTCCTTTAAAAAGACATTGGTGTCAATCCACCAGTGCATCCCCTTGGAAGATGCAATCAAATAGAGGATGAGTAAAGTGCTCCAGATGAGAAACATGACAGATATAACGAAAGAAAGAGACAACTGCAAACAAAAAGTTTAAAACAAAAATAATCAAAAAGAGATATTAGTCAGAACCAGACTTTACCAGAAAGGTATGGGCCTATGTTAGTCTTCACTCTCATCTTCCTCTACGAATGGAATTATGCAGTGGGACAATTAAGGCACACTGCAACTTTCTCGTCGCTGTGGCTGCTCCCAGGAACTGAATGGGAATGGTATCTACGCTTCGTTGATGGGCGCCTGAACTGTGCTTTTTGTATCTGTTATAAGCCTGAAAACATTACAACCAGCACAAGGGTGTGACGCAAAGGTGATGCCTGGTTGCCAGTGGGAGAGATGATACAAGAAGTTAAACCCAAGTTCGCAGCCTTGGCTGTGGGGAAACATTCCTGTGATTTTGACCGATACATGCAAAAGTGCTCGAGGAAGATAAAAGTGCTGTTGCTGACGGCACTGAAATATCCAACTTCAACAACACTCATACAAAGGTTATGATTCAAAGCTATACATTAACTGCACAGGCACCCCCCGCTATTCATTCTTCTCTGTCTTCTGCTCACTGTATTAATTACATTTCAAAATCACCTGCATATACCAGTGGGTGAGACCTCACTATTCCCTGTGCTTACAGCAGCCCACATCCCAAAGGCTGCAACGCACCAAGAGACTGGAAAGAGAAACAGATCGAGCTGTTCTGAACACTGATATCCGAAAGGTATCGATGAGCTTATGAATGAAAAAAGGAAATCTGGGAAGCCGAAAAAACTGCTTCATAAAAGGTGAATGCTGACAAGGTGGTGACTAAGAAACACACGGAAGGAGCATGGGGTTACAATATGGTATCAAAAGGCTAATATTTAGGGGCGAAAATATTGGAGGAGAAAAATGAAGAGCAATTAAGGGACCAGAGTTAGCTCTGACTTTAACCAGCGTCACTTACAGAGCACCACTCTAGCTGAGAGGATTTACTCTGCTTTTTAAGGCAAAGGTAGTGAACTTCAAAACAATAAGTAGGCAAACAAAAGCAGCACTGCACATATATGCAGATTAGGGACAGCACCCGTGACAAAGTTTTATGCAATCAGAATTCAAGAAGCGAGCACGCTGTACTAAGCCTGGGATGTCTCCAGGGCATAAAAACACATCCCAACTTCTGGGGCACTGGTTTATCCCTAAGATCCTACACTGCAGGGATAGGCAGTATCCATGCCATCCCCAGTTGAAGCCACGCCACTCTAGTGAGAGCAAAGGCCATAAAAAGGAGTCCCCTGTTACAGCTCAGCTGAATGTTATGCCACACAGGGCAAAAAGGAGAATTACTTATCTTAATTCAGTATTTTCCTCTATATTCATTAGATACAGCATGCATAAGTAATGCTGAATACACACACACACACACGAAATAGATTATAAAAAGTATGCAACAGAGCTCAATCCAAATTTTTAAGTAATAACTCAGAAGAGATTCTTTGCTTCATGGAACCTAGAAAGCTAACCTAGTCAGCTAGAGGCCTTCTAATCATTTTGATAGAAAAATGTACCATTTTATATGTCACTAATTCTTTTTTAAAATAATTGTCACAACAAAGATAACACAGTTTCTTGACACTGGCACCAGAGGTTCTTTACCAAAATGTACTTAATGCTTCTTTAGTATGTTCTTTAAAGTGGAAAGTTCTTGATATTTATTTAAGTACCAGTATTTTCCCTTAGTTCAGTTGTTTGCAAATGCAGCACCAGAAAAGGCACTTTTGAGACATTTTGAATTTTACTATTAGAAATCAATTGGTATTACTGAAAACTATTTGTTATTCTAGCCTAACACCTTATTTGCTCTAGATAGGAATGGAGTGTGAGCCAAGAATAAGACATCTGTTAGTGCAACTCCTTTAGATATCATCTAGAGTGACTCAAAGCTGTATTCCATCCAGGTCTTCGAGTTAGAAAATATTTGCCTTCTGATAGCCTGTTCAGAGTGATTCAAAGTTCCCTGCCTCAAAGCAGTAGCCTGACTTAATCAGAGAGTAGCCCAGCACCTACTCCTAACAAACTTCCAGGTTTTTGTGGAAGTGCTTGGAATATGAAAGTATTCTCATAATTCACAGATACATAACCATTTCTCCTATCTGCAGCCCACATGTTGAACAAGATTCAGGTATCAATGAGACATTTACAAATCAAATCCAAAAATCTTTCATCTTTAGAGAGGGGAGATTTAAAAAGTTGTTTGAAATGAGCTGCAAATGACAAAGTCTACCTCAAAGACTTCCACCTGCACCAAGCTGTTATTTGAAAATAAAAAAAATAAAAAAAAATATTTTTCCACTGCTGACTGCAAATACATAACAAAGTTTGAAAAAAAAAATAAAAAAAAAAATCAGTGGCTCAGTTGTCAATACCAAGCCAGAAACTTGCAGATAGGAATTTTTAGTGTAAGGCTGAAATTCAACAGACTCATTCACCTGAAGGCCAAGCAGTGAGGTCAGAGGTAGGCCAGGGGAGAGAACATAATAGGCTGAATACACCTAAGAAAATTAAGGTTTCAGGTACAACTAAATTCTGCCATTTCCCACTTCTTGACAACTGATTTCACAACTTAAATGCTGTTCTTTTTACTGTACAATTTCTAGCAAACCAATGAAACAAATCTCATTGTGCGGCACTACGTTCAAGCCCATATAGTGCTTTACCTCTGAAATGCACTAGATTTTTCTTCCTTCAGTTTGCACTGTACTTGATGGCAAGAGTACTGTGTCATGTCCAGAGCACAGGAAGGCTTCAATGCAACTGCCAATGAATTCTAGAGACGTTTGTTGGTAACAAAAGAATGGCTGCATGAAGGGATCTTGGTTTCAGTTACAGGTACTGAAGAGAATACATTCCTAAAGAAAACGAATACTTTACTTTTTCATCCTCGAATACTTTACTTTTTCATCCTTACTCCAAGAGCTTTGATGCATCCCATCCAAAGCTGCCCTACCACAGCCCTGATGTTTTCTCTGAAAAACCTTCCCCTACTGAAGATCCAAACTTCACTTCCCAGACATAAGCTGGTACCAGTTGTCTCTCTTCGTGCCTTCTCAACAGTCTCCTTGTCAGGCAGCTCCCTGTCACCCACAATTTCCAGCTCCTTTTCTTGTTTTAAATTCTGCCCACCACCTGAGTACAGAAATCCTTGCCCACTTTCACTGGTTCCCAGCCCAAACAGCCACTCCTCTCAGAGTTTCATTTCAAGGCTCTTCATCTAAGTCCACTCTCCTGCAGTCTTCCCAGCAATCCTCCCAACTGCAGCACACCATTAACCGCCCAGATCCATAGCTGCTCTTCAGCACACTGTCGACAGCTATGAACCCCTATGGCAGTGAAAGGATGCACAGAGCCAAAATTGAGGGGCGGGGGGGAGAAAAGACAGAAGACAATTCAGAAACAGATGACCTGTAGGCGCAACACTGTGCCAAGCACTTGCTTTGGGACATGTGGTGGCAAAATTATGACCTGAATTACTGACCACAGATGACGCAAACGGAACCAGCCCCACGCACTGTATATGAGAGCAGGTCTATCAATAATATGATGGTGTAAGAAAATGCAGCCACTCCTATATCAATTATTCTTCGAGTTTACTGTTTCCTCTGAAAGATGATTATTCCAGAAGTGAGAGCCTGATACAAACTTTTTCTGGGTCACTGGCCTGCTGGTGACTCGTTCAATCACTCTTTCTCTTTCTGCCCTTTTGATAACATATCTTACCGGCTTAAAAGACTTTACCTCGCCTACCAAGCTTGAAGGTTGATTATAATACAAGACATTCTCCTTCTGACAGTTTCCCAGTGGACTCTCACACACTCTCTACACTTCCCAACTTTTCTGTAAATTCTGCATTAATTGGCAATATTAAATTTACCATATGGTTCATTCTTATGCTCATTCGAAAGCGTAAGTTACACTTACCCTGAAAACACTTACCCAGAAAGTGTTGTATAAACAATTCTCTATTGTTTTCATTCAAACATAATGTTTTCCAAGTTAACAACACCAATTGCTTCACTCAAAGACTAAGCATAATGCATAGCGTATAAAAACCATATATATATACACACACAGACACACTTCCAGGCATACAGATATAATTAAGTGTATATATGGATGCGTATCTCTTTAGACAGGCATAATGCCAAGGGTGACAAGTAGATACACCGGGAAACACTTTGCAGTAATCCACCAGGAACAACCTGAAACGTGCAGACCATTTCCTTCACGCCTTGGGATGCCACACGGGCAGAGTTAAGGTCTCCAGTTTGCAGCAAAGTGGAAATGCCAGCAACAAACCCTTGTGTTTCACTCTGGCTTTCTATGACCCACTGAGGAGCAAGGATGTGTGAGCAGCCACCACGGCCACGGTGTTACACATGCTGCCAGGCCATGAGGACTCCTGCAACTACCTGAAACCCTCCCGACGCGGTGGATGTGTGCCTGCAGGGATGACAGCCCCCTGCCAGCAGCGGATTTCTTACCAGCGAGGTCCAACGTCCTGTCCACGAAGACGACAGAGGCCTTGTTGGTGGCCGTCCTCCTCCTGTTCCTGGCCGAGGCGTAGCTTGCCAGCTCAGCGGCGATGACCCTGCTGAGGGCCCCCACGGCGAAGCTCTCCTCCCGCAGACCCAGAGCAGTGCAGAGAGCATCGAGGTCGCCCACCACGGCCCGCACCGCCGCCCGCACCTCGGCGGGCAGGGCGCCCAGCCCGACCTC